CCCCCCCCCCCCCCCCCCCATTCTTCCAAGCATTGCTGTCAAACTGTTGGGAGTACTTGTTGCTACCCTGCATTGCTTTTCCTCTTCTGAAATACTTTTGGGATTGAACCCACTCTCTTCCCATTGTTTTGGGGAGTCTTTTTTTGTCACCAGTGCATTTTTCTGCTCTTGGGGAGAGCTGCACATGTGAATGAATGACAGGATTAGACAGGGATTTGAGATGCTGCCTCAGCAGGGTACAAGTAAGATGGATGGCCAATGGCAGATGTCGTGTGCAGGAATATGCCCTCCCTTATCCAGGGATTCTCAGTAATCCTGGCTTTATGTACAGTACATGAAGAAACTACGACTGTCAACCGTTTCTGCAGAAATGGCAGGCTAGATTTTTGCCCCTTCTTGGGAATGAGCTGGTACAAATATCACACAAACCTTCCACCTTGCAGCAGAACCAGTGCAGTCTGTCTGCACTCCAGCCCACTGCCACCCTGCAGTATTTGGAAACACTAGCTGTTGCTTAATTCAGTCATTCTCCCCATCAAGAAGAGACTCTCTCTAGGAAACTTTTGAGGATGCTGAGCAAATAGGGAGGCTCGTAGTTATTTTATATCCTCCCTTCTGCTAGCAGAAGCTACTTGATACAATAACATAGGGGGATTGGCTCTGCTGGGATCCACAGGGACTGCTGTCCCAGCCTTTGCCAAGGGGAGTCAGTATAGGGAATGCCTACAGAGACGGGGGCAACTGTTTTGACAAAGTGAATGCCAGGAGCCTGCCTCAGAGGAGACCTGCTGCATCTTCCCATGGAAAGGTTGCTGTACTGATTTGTTCTTATTCTTTTAAAGGGACCATGTCAACGGGACTGATCCCGTTTCTGCCTGAAAATTCTGTACCTCCTATATTTATCAATAACACCAGTAGGATTGTGACTGAAAGAAAAACCTTCCCTGTCCCTAGTTTCAGTTGGCTTGTATAATTCCTTCCCTTGCATAGTCAATCCAGTTAGTTTCTCCCTAGCTGAGAGAAGCCTTGTAAATAGCAACCAAGGAGCCGAAAAAGCCCTTAAATATCTTTTAAACATTTGGAAGAAATTAAAAAAAATTGTTTGTATGGTGCCCAATGGAGCCTCCATCTTTAATGGCCCCTGGCCTAATATGAACATTGAAGGAATCTAATATTTAAAGGATGTTCCTTCAGGAATTGCAATGTTCCAAAGTGAGTCGATTTAAAAGGGAAATTAAGTGTGATGGTTTCCCTTCAATCCAAAGCACACCATTGAGACTGTAAGTAGATGGATGTTCTTAGTGTGTAGGAACTGTAAGGAATGAGAGAGGAGTACCTGGCTATGTACGTGTGCACGCGAATCTACTTCTCTCCACTGCTGTAGCCTGAACTGCTAACCTGTTACGTGAAATATTATATAAACACCGTGACAAAAAACAGCAGCACTCCTTTGAAGGTGGGATGGATTACAGAGTCCCTGGTGCAGTTAGCAATGGAGAGACAATACCTGTTCATCGAAGCATGGAAAAGAAGGAAGAAGAGGAGAATCGAACGCTGGAACGAGGCCAGTGGAACAACAAGCTGGAATACGTGCTGTCTGTGGCTGGAGAGATCATTGGCCTGGGGAATGTCTGGAGGTTCCCTTACCTCTGTTACAAGAATGGTGGAGGTAAGTGCAGCCCTGGCTTTAGCCACTAACATTAGGTACTCTCTCTAGCCATTGTCATATCTCCACTGTTTCTTATGGGTCTAAAGCACCATCTGCACTTGAGAGATTTATTTCCTAGCTGTACCCAGTGCACTAATTTGAACCTGAGGAGTAAATGATACCGTTTACACCAAGGCCTGATTCCAGGAGGTATCTCACATGCCCCCAAAAGTGTATTTCCTGGAGTATCAGGTACTCTTGTGGCTCTGGGAGTCTCTCTGTTGAGCTGATCCTCATCTTGAGATCCGATTTGCAAAAAATGAAACCAAACCCTGCTTGTATATCAAGGGCCCTTTTACTGGAGTGGTTTCTAGGTCTGGTTGTACATGCCCCAAAGGCCCATTTACCAGTGGCTGTCACCTAAGAGGGCAGTTTCCTGAAGCTGCCTGGCACGTCTGCAAGTTTCCCAGGAGGTCTTACTAGACTAAATCCTCTTGGTGCTGAACACTTCCTGGAGGGTATTTAGCATGCCCACTGGGCTCACACAAATGCTTCCAAGGGATGATGGTCACATGCTCATTATGGATTGCTCCTGTCATTTGTCAGTGGTAAATCTTTTTAAGGGAAGCACCCAAGTGCCATGAGAATGCAAATTAAGCAAACAAATGTCCACATGGGAGCCAATTTCCCAGCTGTGCCAGGTTCACAGCTAGCTTGTGTGTCACATTAGCTGTGTCTTTGTTGTGCATAGCTGGAAAAAGCATACTTATGCAAGTGGAGCACTGTCTGCAGGAGAGCCCTGGATGTGCCAGTACATCTAGAGACTATAGTGTCATTGAGCCCAGATATATGGTAGGAAAGAGCTGAAATGATGTTCAGAGTCTCCTCCTGCTTCTGCCAAGAAATCCAATATTGCTTCTATTCCTTTGTCAATCTCCTTGCACAACTATCCATATGTGCTGGTGAGAGAAAGCGGGTGTCTTGACTCAGTGGGGTATGTAGGTGTGAGGTGGATTGTGCATTTGCGCATAGGAAGGAGAGACTGAGACACCTCATTGTGATTTGTAAAACACAGAGCACACAGGTGCAATATGGTTACTATTAACAATAACAGCTAGATGAAGGAGTGAGAGTGGGTGTAACTCAGCGGTAGTATTTCTATGCATCTTCTTTGCAGAGAATTCCCCAGTACATTAGGTTCTGTGCGGGTGGACTGTTGCTTCGGGCTTGTGTGTGTCTTTTTAAAACAATTTTTTCTTAAGTGAAAATTGAAATCCCTATGTCCTGTCTCAAGGTTAAAGACCTCTCTGTGTTTTCTGTGAAGCATTTTTGCCAGAGAGTGGAACAGGAAATACTCTGCCTATTTGGGACTGATGATTTATTGCTCATCAGACTCTGTAAGTTCAGGAGAGTGGGGAAATAGCACCCAGTTGTCAAGTGGCAAAGAAAGTATGCAGTGGGACCCTGCACTGAAGTCTTCTGGGTTTAACTTGGAGCAGTCCCATGGGCCTAATTAAACCACTTTCCCATCTTACCGGCATAGTAAAGAGGATTAGCCAGTTAGCTACTTTTACACGGGCTCTTGTTTTAGTACATGCTTCTTTTTACCTGGTGCTGGGGAATTTGTTGTTGAAAGGGGATTAGAAAGGACAATGTTTCTTGTTTTAAGTTTTAATTTGGAAAGTTTCTTGGCTGCTAGTTGCCTGGTTTCTGCTTTCATCTGTTGTGCAGTTCCTGTGAACTCCCTACATAGCCCCAGGAGAGATCCAGGGGCAAAGTGGGCACTGCCCATGCTGAAAAGGGAGCAGCAGAGTAGCACCTTCCTGCCTCAGCTGCTGCTTGGATGTTTTAGTGAGCTCAGTGCAAGGCTGTTTTTCAAGTGCTGGAGTCCTATGAGAAAGGGGTGAGCTCTAGATAATGGGGCACACTTGGGAGGCTGCAGAGGAAATTGGTTTGGTCACACAGTTGAGGGTAAAAAAAAAAAAAAAAAAAGAGATGGACCTCCCCGACTTGAACATGGCGAGGAAGTGTCTAGGACCAAAACAACACAAAGTTGAACATCCCCAGCCCATGATGTGTTTGGCACCTGGCTTTTCTAACCATCTCTCCTGAAAGCTAGGAAAAGGATGTTTCATGTGACCTTGGCTAGCAGAGCCAAGAAGTGGTTTTCAGGAAGTCTTTCTGGGAAGGAGAGAGGAAGAGAATGTGAATGAAGTTGGGGCCTTCTGAGAAATGCGTTTGAGGTGTGTGAATTAGGGCGGCTTGTTCTTTTTCCCTTGTTTTGAGTCATTTCTATGTAGCAAACAATAGTCCTCAATGTTTAGAGTTCAGTTAATGATTCAGGCTGTATATGGGGGTTGGGGGAAAAAATCCTTCTTTATCACGTGTGCTGAGATTAGTTTCTTTCCTCTGGATGGGGTCAAGCTTGCCCTAAGGAAGTTGGCCTCACTGATTGAGAAATACTGGGAAGCCCCTGCGTGTGTGTGCGCACACCTCCCTCTGTGTCACACCCACATACACACTGCCCGCTGTTCTTGTTCTCAGACTCTTATTTGTCAGGACACACAGAGAGGTTAAAATTACAGGGATGGACAAGGGAGTTCTTATTTGGGTCAGATGCCTACTGACATCAATAGGTAAAAACTCAGTAAGGCCTTTAACATTTGGCCCTGAGGCAGGATGAAAGGAGATTCAAACTGGGAAAATGAGCTAAGACTTGGCGTGCTTTGGAGCCACAGTTAAGGGTCCCTGCTTCATATTACAAAATGGAGCCATGTTGTAACTTGGCTCAGGGCACAGGTGTGTCATAACTGTTTTCCCTTACAGTTGTAGTATGGATGGGGCCTAAAGTGCAAATAGTTGTGAAATGTAGTGGTGGCCCAACAATGTTATGCCACTCTCTTTTTTGAGTGAGTCTGTGGAGGCAACACCACCTCCACCCCCTCCACCCACTGTAGGGATATTCATGCATTAAACCTAGTACGTAGCTAGTCTGAACTATTATTCTATACTGAGGTTTGCAACATCTTTTTTTTTCGGTGCAGGCAGGAGGCTTGTGTTTGTGATGTTTGGTAAAAGCTGGGCCAAAGTGAAGCTAAGATGCTGCTGGGGTTGCTGTAGCACAGAGTCCTCCTCCTTTGCTATTCAGTATATTTCTAAGAACCCAGTAAAGGGCCCATAAAGGTTTAATGCTCAACTTTCTGGCACCTCTTACATACATGTTTATATAGTACACATCATGTGCTATCAGGTTTCTAAGTGTACCCTCACATTTAAACCCTTTCAGAGTATGAAGTATCCACTAGTGTTCCAAGACAAAATAATATAATGAAGGCTGGTGGCAGGTCAGGTGTGCACATACCACAGTACCTAGGTTGGGAAAGTATTAAAGTGCAGTATTTGGCTTTGCTTAAAAAGGAGATGGGGAGCAATAGGAGTGGGGTCCAGAAGCTGTGTGCATAATGACCTAGCCTCCTATCCTCGTATCTTGGGTTTATAATGGTATAGTGTCTCAAAGCCAGCACCTGACTAGCACATGTAGTAATGAAGGACAAATTCTGACAGGTCCTAGACTTCACAGAAAGTCTCAAGCTAAGAAGTAATGAGCATCTTCAAGTGCAGCTGGGGTGGGGGTGAGCTTGCCTTAGGAAATGACAGTTGGCACTCGTGTGCGCATATGTGTATATGCGTGTGTGTGTGTGTATGTGAAGTCATTTTCAGTTCCTTCATAATTTGTGTCCCAGAAGAAGAGTCTGAGACAGGGTGCCAAGAGAGGAAACCCTTGGGTTTGTTTAGGAACCATTTTACTAATGATAGAACTAGAAATGCCCAGAGGGATCCTGAAGAAGAGGATGGCATTCAGCTCAGTCTACAAGCAGAGAGAGCCCCAGGCAGACGGGTATTCTTGTTAGTTCGGAGGTCTCTTTAGATCAATTTGGTAGCTTGCATATAAAAGCGTTTATGTTGACAAAGTTTATTCCGGTATGGGTGATTCCTCTTTCTATACACAAATAAGATACTTCCTATATGTTGATGTAACTCTATCTATCCTAGGGAAGACTGTATTAGTAGAACTACTCTGTACCCCTTACCAACAAAGATCCGCTATGTACAGACAAGGTCTTAATCACTCCCCACATAGTTGCTAGGTAACAAAATCTGTCCCCAGTGAATATTTATTCAAAAGATGTACTGCTTCTGTCTCAAGCTCAGGGTGTTATCCTGCTTGGAGACCTGGGTAGGAGAAGCTCTGGAAAAGCCAAAAATATTTCCCTTCTCTTTCCCCTGTTCATGCAGTTGAGTTAAGCTTCTTAATGTCTTATCTTGTGTTCCCAGTTTTCTTCTACACTAATGCTGATATTCCTAACACATTACTACCTACCTTGTTACAGTCAGGTGGAGTCTTGCTGACAAAGGCAGAACTAGACTAGGAAAATTAGTTTTCTGGCCGGTAAAGTTATCTTTTCGGGTTGTGCCAGCCCCTCAGAAGCTGCCTCCCCAATACTCTTCCATTTACCAGTGCACTGCTCTGCAACTAATTTCAACTTTGTATATTAGATTCAGGACTGGTTTATAAGCAGGCACTATGATGGGTTATGTCTCATGCATCTAAAAAAAAGAAAAAAGAGAGAAAGAAAGAAGAAAGTCTGCATTCCTTATCATGTATTGGACTGTGCAATATGGCTAAGCTTATCTTAATATGGGAAACTTAGTATTTACACTTCCTTCTATTTTTCAAATATTAATTGATTCTGCACTCATAAAGTTGGGGGTGGGGAGGACAGGACTGGAGATGGGATAGTTTTTGGACCTTTTCCTTAAGTTCAGTCATGCAAGACCCAGTTGTAAATATTACCTTAGTATGGATTTATCATAGGTTTGACCCATGGCTTCTCAAACATGTTTCAGTCCTATTTCATCCCCATTGCAGTTAGTTTTGCCATCACTAAAGCAGGAGCAGGCCTGGGCTGCCAATGTTAGTGAAATGCCTTTCCCTACTTCTATTTTCCCACTTTTGTTCCTGCCTTTTAAAAGATAGGTGGTAAACTGAAGAAAAACTTAAACTTAAATGGAGTGAATAGGATCAGGCTGAAATGATTATAGATGCTAATATTTTAATAGTGATAAAGGCAGTAAAAATTTGGATTTGAGTTTCAAGGAAAAAAATAAGTTGCTTAAAAATCACGTGTGTTTTTTTTGTTTTGTTTTTGTTTTTGCCAGAAATTGAGTGTTCCTTTTAATTTGATTGTAAGCACTTAGGTTTCATACTTGTTAGCTTTCTTCTGCAGCAACAGTAGCTAGAAGCTTATTTTTCTTTCTTGATAAAATGTAATGCTGAGATTCTTATATAACCACTGTGCTCCAGGAGCTGGAGCTTTAAGAAAAACCCTGATTATCATGAGACTCATCACTATTCAGACTCTGGTTAAAACTGTGCCAGCAGCAGTTGATTATTGCTGCCAGGGTTTCTGTGGCCTGTTGTCTTAGACCCCTGGCATCTGTGCCATTTTGTCCCACGCTGTTTTTTGAGGTCCATGTTGCCATCAGTTTCTTTCTCTGGACCTCTTCCCCCTCTCGGGGAGATTATTCAGTCCTAAGCCTAAAACAGTCACTAGTCTAACATGATTTTCTTTCCTATGTACAATGCCTGAACCTGCCAGGTGCCTTCTTCATCCCCTACCTCATCTTCCTCTTCACCTGTGGGATTCCAGTGTTTTTCCTGGAGACAGCACTAGGGCAGTATACCAGCCAGGGTGGGGTCACAGCATGGCGGAGGCTTTGCCCTCTCTTTGAAGGTAAGTAGTCCTTGGAAAGCTGACCTTTTGGCTGAGGGAGGGAGGGAGGAGAGGGACATCAGTGCCGGAATCAGGTACTTAGTCTGCAATGTCACCTGCTCTTTCCCTCTTAAAAGTGGCCCAGGTAAAATCCTCCTCACTATAAGCATATCCTGTTTTGTGAAAAATTGTTTGAAAGTGATCTTGGTGATACCGTGGGGCTGGAATTTGTGTTTGTCCTTTCAAATCAGTTACTTATGCTTCTCATTGGGAATCCTGATGCCTGTCACAACACCCACACATGGTGCTTCAAAGTTAAGGTTGGGTATTTGACCAGTCAAATATAGTTTGTTCAATTGACTGGTTAAATATTGGTCAAAAATTGTAAAAAAAAATTGCCAGCAGGTCCAAATAATACACAGAAAAAGCCCACACTTTTTTCATCAAGAAATGTGTCAAAAAACAATTTTAAAAAAATCATATTTCTGCCAAGAAAATGACAAAAAGTGTAGGGTTCTTTTGTTTTTTGGTTTGTTTTTTTTGGTGGGGGGGGGGTTGGTAAAACTGCTGTTTTCTTTGACTGGTCAAAAAGTATGCAATTGACAATATTTGACCAGTCGATTGACCAGTTTGCCAACTCTATTCAAAGTAAAGAATCTAATAATAGTTAGTCTCCTGCACTCCTGCCTCACAGCTCCACTATTTAACCACAATGGTGCTGAAAAACTCTCCTGCCTCTCCCACTACTTTGGTCATGCTCATTCCCTCTTATCAAATCATGTCACTGGCTTTTCTTCACCTTCTGCATTGGGTGTGATATCTGGCCATGAAATTTTCCACAGTCAGAATCGTAGTCTACACTTATATTTAAATAATACATGTCTAACCTTGATTTTTGCAAAGAATCTAAAATGTACGAGCTCTCATTTAAACTGGTGACTACATCATCATCTGAGTCTGCAGAAAGCCTGAAACCTTAGCTCCAAGTGGTGTCACCTACCACATTCTTCCCAGAGGGTTGTTAACTTTGAAACCCAATTAGGATCTTTTTATTGTAATCTTCCCATGTTGTGTTCATGCCTCAGTTCCAAACCCATGATTTCTCCCCAACTACAAAAAGTTTCAATCACTTCAATTATTATCATTATTATTATCAATAATAACATCAATAATAGTACTAATAATAAAGTCCAGAATATTGAAAAGTAAAGTTTTATTGCAGAGCAATCCTGCTTAATTTTGAACTGAATGTTGGAAGAGATGCTACTTACTTTCATATTTAAAATTCATGAATTAACCTTCACATTCCAGCATATGTGAAAGGGCAATGTTCAGGCAGTGATGCCGGGCACTGTAAAAGGCAGGGGAAGTTAGCTGCAGCACTCGCTCAGACTGTCAGAGAGTACATGGGTCACCTGGTAGGCCTGAACTAGTGGTATAAATTTGTGTTTCCTTAGGTGAGCAGGTGACTCTCCAACCAGTTGTGCCAAAACAATCCACATAGCTGTGCAAAGTTCAAGCTTGCAGTCCTTCCTAGGGCTTGGCTTTATTAAACATATCAGTGATAAAATAACATAAAGATTGGTTCACACCTTCCCCTAGGCGTGGCTGTTCCTAGGGTTCCTTCGTCAGGATTGCGCGGTTCACCTACGGATCCTCTCGTACCAGATAACCGCTCCTCTCTCCAGGTGAACTAGCAAGTTGCCTGCAGAACCCTTTTGCCAGCAAATAGGTAGTGGTGTTCCCAGCACACACAGGTACCAGAGTAGCTCGGAGCAGTCTATGCAGGATGCTCTCCTGTTGTGAGAGATCACTGGTGAGAATTTTGCTGGGAGATATTTGCAGACAGAGAAGCTCCTACATCATTCCCTAACATGGGTGTCTGATGCCTCTTGAGTCAGCGACCGGGGGGGGGTCCCCTGTGGCCAATCTCACTGTCTGTAAAAGCGGCTGCGCTGCTTCTGGAAGTGGTATGGTCCCACCGGCTAAACGGAGAGCATGGCCTGACAGTGGGTGCACTGGCACTCTTGGGGGGGATGCACGTGCACCCCTGTGTACCCTGTATGCATTGCCCCTGTTCCCTAATGTGAGTTCTGAGTGAAATAGCTTGAAGCACACTGTGTGTTAGGGCTGTGCAAAGCTTTGGTCCCTGATTCGAATTGGGCTGAATCTCTGCTGAATCAGTGGCCAAATCTCCAAATCTGAATTGAATCAGAGAACCCTTTAATCTCTCTGAATCAAATCAGAACCCTCCAAATTGATTCAGAGAGCTACAGAAAGATCTGGCAATTTGAACATAGACACAGCTTTAAATGTTTTTTTCTACATACCTCTAGGTAGCAGGCGGCTCGTGAATGCTGTGATGCTGGGGTGCATGAAGTGTCCCACAGGAGTGCAGGGGGCTCCTCAGCATACTCAGCAGCAGACCTGGAAGTGGACCAGAAGCACTTCTGGTCCACCTCTGGGTATGCTGGGAGGTGCACGGGGGAGTGCAGGGGTGCCCCCCCCCCAATGCTCCCTTGGCTTGGTGACTTGTGCCTCCTGGGTCTGGTGGGGGGCATCTGGGGGTCCCACTGTGGCTGATCACTGAGCTGGGGGGGGCTCAAAGTAAAGGATCTAAGTATATTTGCAGACAGAGAAGCTCCTGCATCATTCCCTAACATGGGTGTCTGATGCCTCTTGAGTCGGTGACTGGGGGGGAGGGGGTCCTGGAAGTGGACCAAAAGTATTTCCAGTCCACTTCTGAGTTTGCCGCTGAGTATGTGGAGGGTCCTTGCCCTCCTGTGGGGTGCTCCATGCACCCCCAGCATCGCAGCGTTCACAAGCTGTGCTGGTACCTCAAGGTATATAGAAAAAACTTTTAAAGTTGTGTCTATGTCTGAATCTCCTGATTCTCCGAATCAGCATCGAATCTTCAGATTCGGATTCAGCCTAATCGAATCGAGGACAGTGATCTGAATCAACTAATCGAATCGCTGTCCCTGATTCGGGCCAAATCCGAATCAAATAGGGCCGGCTTCTCACACATGGAAGTCCCAGTAGCTGTGTTTGGGTTGAACATGCAGGAGACCCTCGTAGAAAGAAAGCCCCTGTGCCTACAGAGCCATTGACATCCAGTGGAGTTTTGAATGTTAATCCATAGACGTCATGTCTGTAGAGTTTTAGATCATAATCCATAAGAGTTCATAATCCATAGAATTCTAATTTTTTGCATGTAATCCATAGACTTGGCTTTTCTCCAAGCCAATTTGCTGGCACATGTTTGTTTCAAGTGCTCATGAAAGTGCAGTTCTTTCTTTCCTCTCCTGTACTTGTTAGTCTTTTAGCAGGCTCAGATCAGTGGCTGTCCACCATTTCCATGGAGCCCTCTCACCTATCTGACTGGAGGCTAGTCAGGATTTCCCTTGCTGTTCCGCTATGTGGGAAGCAGTGCCAGATTATGACATGCTGAGGCCCTAAACAATATCCAGTTTAAGAGGCCCCATATGATAAAAACAATCCATGAAATCCACGCAAATGGATTTTCATGAAATTTTAAGATGAATTATTGTTATTTCTGCACAAATTTTTGAGCTCAATATGAATAATAACTGTGAAGCTATATATATGAATATTTTTGTCATATTTAAATGAAAATGTCTAGGTTTTTCTTTTCTTATTTAGAGGCCCCTCGCACTGTGAGGCCCTAAGATGTAGTTTAAGTATTTTAAGCCTAAATCTGGCACTGGTAGGAAGGCAGGAGTGGTTGTAAAACCCTGATGCCTACAAGAAACTTCTATAAAGTTTCCATCTTACAAGCTGAGAGCCCCTTTTTTCCCCCACAAATGCCATGATCAGACAAAACAGTGGGAAGGCATTCTGGATTACACTGGGAAGAGGATAATGGAGGGATTGATTGCCATGCCAGTGTATAGAGCATGCCATGGACACTTCAAAATAAAAGATGAAAATTAGGAGGAGGTGGGCAATGGAAAGAGAATAGGAGCAGTAGGCAGTTTGCAGAGCAAGTAGCAAAAAACAGGACAGTGCAATGCTCTGGCCATGAGGCCTGGCCAGGTCATATTCATCTACTTGTTTATCAATACACAGGACCTTCTCTCTGCAGGAATTGGTTATGCCTCCCAGGTGATCGTCATACTCCTGAACTTCTATTACATTATTGTCCTGGCCTGGGCTTTATTTTATCTCTTCAGTTCATTCACCATAGATCTTCCCTGGGGCAGCTGTGACCATGAATGGAACACAGGTAACTCTGGATTTCCCCCTCTGTCTCATTTTCCCCCCTGCCTACCACCAGCTCTCCAGGAAAAATCTGTTGCTAGCAAATACCATCCAACCTGAGAAATTAGTTCCTCCCTTGCAAGGATGGCTATTAAACAATGATGTCACACAGACTTTCCCTTGCTGTTCCAGCAATGGATCCCACCTGTAAAGATGAGATTTCCCCTTATGGATGGAGGTGGTAGGAGGAGGTATTCACTCTAGTTTTATTCAGTCCTTTGCCTTTTTTTGTGCTCTACCTGAGTGATGGGACATTATATACCTTGGAGGGAAAAGGGGAATTTATAACTTTCTTATGATTCAGTGATAGGTCTCTTCTCTCTAGCAATGGTGTGCCCTGGAGAAGGACCTTTCTTTTTGAGCATCAATGAGGACTCCAGAATCATTGAGTTTTATCTTGCTTGGAGGGAAGAGGGATCTACAGTATTTTCCTAGGGATTCTGGTATTCCAGTTGCATCCATTTACATGTTCTCTCCTTGGGCCTGTCCTGCAGGGAACTGCATGGAATTTCAGAAGACAAACTCTTCTCTAAATGTGACGACTGAAAATGCCACCTCCCCTGTCATTGAATTCTGGGAGTAAGTGAACAACCTATGTTTCCATGATCCCTCTGGGGGTTACCACCCTCCAACAATGACCATCCACTCTGTGATAGCACTTCTTGCCAATGAAAAAATTCCAGGGCTTTCAGAACCAAAGCAGTGACCCCACAGGCTGGGCAACATATAGGGTAGCTAGTGGGGACAATTTTTTTTTATTATGTTGCTGTTAATCTGGAGTAATTACAGTGGGGATAATAGTTTTCTTCTGGATTTACTGAGGCATCTTGAATTTCTTGCATTTTGAAACAAGGTTTGTTAACAAGGATGAAATCTCACTGATGTCAATGAGGCCACAGTGCAGACTTAACTCTCGCTGTCCTTTCTCCCTTCTGTGTTTTTGGGCCTGCTCTATTTGTTTATTCTCTTTTTCACCTATTTTTCCTTCCCCCTTTGTTATAATGGTCTTTACCTGACTATTCTTCTCTCTCCAACATCCCTCCTTCCCATGTCATAACGAGAGGTTGTTTTACACTTTCAGTTCAAAATCTCTTTAAAACACATTGGGCCAAAATCATCCTTGATGTGAACTGCACCGAGATGATGTAGTTGCACCAATGGAGTGACATTAGCCTCAGGGTACTTTGCCATGTATAGTCATTTGCTTTGCTTGCAGCTGCTCTGCTGTGGATGACCTTGGTAACTGCATCCAAGGCCTGTGTAAAAATGCTCAGAATATGGTAACACTGACTTCAGAGCTGGTAATGGGGATATATCACAGGTGATCCATACCACTTTTTATGGGTTTGTTTTGCAAGGTTGGACTTACTCAACTTAAGGTCTCTTGAATGAAAGGCCTTTTAACAAACGGTATGCTGCTGAATGAGAAGAGTAGGGAGTTACCTTTTTGTGTTAGTGCTGGCATATGATATTATACCCTGGTAGATGGTGAATTTTGTATATGATCTTCCTGTGCTGCTGACAACAAGCAGCATATTTTGCCTCAAGGTAGCTAGTAAGCATGAGCTATCCTGAAGGGAAAATGTAGTTTAGACAAAGACTTTAGTTTTACCCTAAGCTAAGCTAAACTCACCAAAATCAATCCAAATGGTGGTATCTTATCCCATTTCTTATCTTCACTGCCCCCCCCCTTGGGGTAGCTCATGCATGTTAATTAGCTCTATGTAAAAATACAGATTTTCTTAGTAGTTAAGAGAAAAAAAGGCCTACTGGCTTGTGATCACTTATGAGTCCAACCACCCCTTGGGAAATAGGGATGATTTAGCAGTGTCTTGGCTAACTTTCAGTGGGGGTAAACTTCCTTCTGCCATCATGAGTTTTCCTTGCAGATTTAGATGGACATCTTCAACCTCACTTTGTCTTAGATCAAGGTATAATCTGGCTCTGTATTGTTGAACAGCTAGCTGTGGGAGCCAGGGCCAGATTAATCCCTTAGTAGGCCCTAGGCAAACTTGTGGGCCCCACGCAGGTCGAGACCCCCCCCGGCACTGCTGCCCACGGAGAGCAGGGCTCGGAGCTGCCACCAGGAACCAGCCATGGCTGCAGCAGCAAGGCTGGAAGAGGGGAAAGGAAGGGAGGCAGATTGGTGCCATCACCATGGAAGGAAGGACCAGGATGCCCCGCAGCTGAGGGTCCTAGGTATGTGCCTAGTTTGCCTGTGCATTAACCTGGCCCTGATGGCAACTCCTATTCAGCAGCAAGCCAAATGATTCATATATACACATTCTTGCCTACAAACACAATGGGATCTTTTTGGAGTGGAAGGTAATTGTAAGCCATTACAAACTGTTAATGCACCCACAGTCTACTTTTTCCCCCTACTAATGCTTCCCTCTCCACTAAACAGTCTTGCGGCTCCCTGGCCCTCCCTGGGCCTGTGTTTATGCTCTGATTGTCTCCTGTCTCATGCTGTTTTTTCTTGGCTCATTCTTCCTGGGGTTGGTGCTGAAAGGCTGAAGTTAAAATCAGTGTTTAATCAGTCCTGTGTTACTGGGGCATCCACACATGGGACTGGACATTTCCGTTGTCCCAGCTCCTCTGATCTCTGTGGCTTCTGTCGCAGGATCTGTTCTCACTCTCACAGGAATGCAAGCATTGAGTATGGAGGGGGAAGGCTACCAGTTTGCTTGAAAGACACAAATCTGCATTACACTCTGCTTCTGTGGATCCCTGTAACTCCCTCCTCAGCCTGCAGTAGAACACTCTTAAACTCTGCAGGTGTCCTTTCCCAACATTGAAGGCACCTCAAAAGGTTTGGGAACTCATTATTTGGGTTAAAGTAGGCACAAATTGAGTTCAGAGACCTCTTACAATAGACTGCCAGCATACAGGTAGTAGGGGAGAGTTCTTGCACCAAAGAGGTGAGGCAAAGGGTGGGCCAGGGTGTTGCTTGTGGGGAGTGGGAGGGAGGGTAGGCAGGGAGGACCAACAGTGGTAAGCGTTTGGCTTAAGTAGGTCATTGTCAGCTGGAAATAGAATGCAGGCCTTCTGATTTCAAGGCCTCTGCAGGTCCACCAGGCCACTGTCTTCTATGTTGGGTAGCTGAGGAATGTCCATTGACCTGTCCTGAGGTGCACAGGGTGGAGTTAGGGTTTGCTCCTCCCTAAACTGCAAAGATATTTTATGGTTATTGTTGAGAATTGGCCTAGGCACTGAAGATCTTGTGAATGACCTCTGCAAGACTCAGCATCTGTGTGCCTTCTTTCCCTCCAGGAGGAGAGTGTTAAAGATTTCCAGTGGCATAGAGCACATGGGGAGCCTGCGCTGGGAGCTGGCACTTTGCCTCCTGCTTGCATGGATCATTTGCTACTTCTGCATCTGGAAGGGAGTCAAGTCCACAGGCAAGGTGAGTACCTGGCTTTGGCTTGGCTCTCTCCATCAGTCAGAGGTGCTGCAGTGATTTCTGCACCCAGTTCTCTTATGTCTGAAGAGAACATGTGATCTTCTCTTGAGCTGGCTCAAGAACTTAGGCTCAGCCTTAAGACATCGCACACCAGACTCTGGAGCCTGGCTTGCAAGAGATGGG